AAATCATATAGTTGTGCCAATCTCAGCAGCTCCTCTGTGTCATTTCTCTTCTTCAGAGCTCCATATGTGGCTACCTGTCTCTGTTTTTCTATCCCTATGAAGGTTTCTGTTCTCCAAGGGGAATATTAAAGGTCAGGTGGCAAGATGCTCATGCTAATCAATCTGTTCCTAGCTAGGATTTTCAGCTACTTGCTCCAGCAAGGATTACCAGCTTTTGCAAAACATCTCAACATCCTGAAAATCTCAGGGGGTTATTTTGTGCAGAGTCTGTGACTTCTTTCCACAGGCACCAACGTGGCCGATTCTTTGGATAACATTTCCTTTTTGCAGTGCGGTGGCAAAGCTGTTCGTCAGCTGTGAGCACATTCCAGCAACCCCCTTATATCCTACACAAGTGCTCATATTTTGGTCTTGGTTATAAGGGTGAGGAGAGTGGGATTGCTCCAGATTTGTTTACCAGTGGAAGTTGGAATGAATATTGCTTTCCAAGCACTTCCTGATAGAAGCTTTTCTGTCCTGTTGTGTATCTCCTCTCCTGCTGCTGCCTCTCTTGCCAGGCTCCACAGCCTGTTGTTGTCAGGGATCTGTTCAGTGTCTCTCTGCTCCCACTGATGGACTTTGAACCGTTCTTTCTGAAAACCCAAGGCAATTCTTGCACAGCAAAGCTGGACTTTTCCCTTCCACCCTGACATCCAGCTCTGTGGGACTCTTCTCTGTCCCCCTGCCCTGTGGGCTGGCTCCCCTGAGCCCAGCATCCCGGCCTGGATCTCACTTCCCATTGCTCAGCTGTTTCCTTGATCCAGACAGATGCTCAGGTGCCCTCTTGGCTGTGCCCTAAATAGGCCTCAGCACATGTTCCAGCAGTTCAGTCCCCCACTTTACAGCTCCCATAAGGAACAGCACAGAGCCATAAGAAAGCCCTGGCTGAATTTCAATGAGTACAGTGTGACAGCACACTTGGGTAATTAATAGGGCCGAGGGGGAGATAGGATTTGTGTATTTATCATTATTATTTCTTCATTATCTTCTAGGTATAATATAAGCTGCAGAGGCAGCAAATGCAGACTCTACCAGGAAAACTCTAAGGTAGAATTTCCCTGTTTTGTAGTGTTGAATATTTCATGAGTTTCAAATGCCAATTATGAGTTACTTGCTGCCTGCTAAGAACAATAGGCAGCTTTGAAAGGACTTGCTCCTGTTCTTCCAAGCTATACCACATGTTCATTGACTCCATTTTCATCTGAGAATTTAGAAGTTCAAGGGTGATGCTGAATCTCTCACCCAAGCAAAGGTGGTCCTAAAAGACCAGCTTGCACTGCTGCTTTCTGTTCCCTGAGCTACAGGATATCAGATTTGATGGCTCTCACTCTATTCTTCTGTAGTCCTGGCTTCATTTGGAACGTCATTTTTCACATTTGCATTGCAGCACTGGCTTTTTAATAAAATAGCACCACATATATGTATATTCCATAAATACATATTTTATATATATATATATATATATATATATATATATATATGAGCTGGCAAAATTCCTTAAGAAACAAATGAATCTTTGGCTGCTTCACCTGCGTTCTCTCTACTAAATCCATTCCCTTTGTATCTCTGCCAAGTCTTGGAGCAGAGTCTGACAAATACTGTTTAAAAGGAGATAACTTCCCTCAAAAACAGTTCTGCCTTTTCCTGACAGGTGACTTCTCTATACCCCCTTTGAATGTACTGTGAGCCAATGACAGGTAAGACTTAGACCTCCAGCAGGCCTGACTTTTCTTAAATATTCTAAAAATATCTCTATAAAGGTTCATTTGCTGACATGGAAAGCACTGCCACAATGCTGGCAATCAATTATGTCCATGGTAGTAGTTTCATACCATTAGACAAGGATAATTCCCATCTCCCTGCACTTAGTTCTTAGAAGGCTCTCAAATAAAATATCATTACTTTGAAGTCCTCTGGACACAAAATTGTCATTACATTTTAAGGACCTGAAAAATTCCTCTGAGTTTGGTACCTGTAACCCCTGTAAGTTTTTAGAAGTGTTTAGGAACCCAAACTTGGAGACAGAGGTACACAAGAATGTACCTTCTGGATTGACCACCTTGGGTGATTCCACGAAGCTTAATGCTTTATAGAGAGCTGTAAAGGTACCTGTGGTCTGTATGCATGATATATAGCCTGGACAGTGGTGGCTGGGAAGTGCCAGCCAGAATTCCAGGCACGGGGATATCTGGGTGCTTCTGGCACGGTGCAGCAGAGTGCCAGGCCCTGACTCAGTCTGTGCTCCTGAGCATTTCCTTCCTGCTGCAGAGGTGATGCAGGAGGACTCTGCTGCTCGGCTGCCCTGTTGTGCTCTCTGTCAGAGGATCTGATTTGTGTCACCAAGTAAGGCAGCACTCTGGGAACATCCCAGGAAGGCCAGGGAACGGAGTGTGGGGATATCCCGAGCGCTGGAATACCTATAGCTGAAAGAGAACCAACAGCTCGATTCCTTGAGCACGTCCTTTACTGCTCTGTCATTCTCTGGGAACATCAGGGACCGTCTTTAAGAAGCTGCATCAGTTTTGGATGCTGTGCACCTCGTTAATCAAAACACATCCTTTTGGAAGGCACTTGATTGCAGCTGAGGAGCACAAGTGCTTACACCTCAGCATCCCCAGCGCCTGGAGGAGGGAACAAGAAGAGGGAAAAGACCTTTATTGCTCTCACTGGCCTAATTCACGTTATTTGATCTCCAGGAACATTTGAAAATTGAGAGTTATTTCCCCAGAAAAGCTTGTTCTATCAGAAATTGTGAAAAAAGTAATAGTGTTAAATAATATTTGCGCTGGGTAGCTGCACTGTAGAGTATTTGAAATGAGTCACAGCCAGTCTGGGTTGTGCCAGGAGGTGGGAGGAGAAGAGGAGCAGGTGAACACATCAGGAAAGGATTCAGGAGAGAGCAGGCAAACAAAGATGAGGAAGCATGTGCTGTCTGTGTGTGTGGTGAAGTCACTGCTGATCATGGCATTTCCTAAAGGAAATTTGCTGCTTTAAATGGCAAAGTTACCTATGGCGAGTGACTCCTGGGAGGGAAGAGGTGAATATTTGCTCAGGAAAGCAGAACTGCAGCGGTGGGTGACGATTTCCTCCCTGCTTGCAGTGGGCATTCCTTGCCTGTGTTCAGCCTCCCTGCCTTTGCCTAGCAGGTGGGATCTTAAATCTCTGAAACAACAAATGTTCTAGAAAGCCTGAAATGCTAAACTGACACAAAAATATATACAAAAGTATCTCATATGGCCAAACAGATTCGTAATTTAACTCCACTGGTTTCAAAGGCTCGACACTAGGAAATAATCTGAACTAGTTTATCAGTCTTAAACATCACAGGATAAGCAGCCACTCCCAAATAAGCACGGGCGCGGCTGATTGCTACCTCTTTACCTCCTTTTCTCCAGAAGCCCCCTCTCAAATACGGAAAGGGAAATGTCTGATTTCAGCTGCTTTGGCCTCTGTTACACGGGGTGCATTGTGGCCAGCAGTGAAGGCAGGAGGATTCCCATGCGGAGCTGTTCTTTTCCCAGGAGCGTCCCCCGGGGACGCGCCGGTGGCGGGTGAGCCGCAGGAAGTGCTGACTCAGGTGCCCACTGGGAAGTGGGTTTCCCCGCGTCGCAGGGAGAGCCCACGCATCCCACTGCCTCCGCCAGCCCAGCCCAGCCTCCCTCAATCCAGCGGGGGAGCTCTCGGAGATGCGGCTTGCTTTTATTTTTTTATTTAATGGCTTCTCCAGATCCGACCCCGCAGGGGAGGCATAGTACCGGGTTTGCACGGCTAACGGGGAGCGAGGCAGCCAAGGAAAAAAGATCCTTCCAACCCTTCGGGACTCTGCGGACGGGTGCGAACGCAGCCTGTTCCCAGCAGGCAAACTTCTGCTCGGCAACACAGGCACTCCCCTAGCCCCTGTTTTGCATGCAAGTGAGATTTTCAAGGTGAACCGCTGTTTTCCCTTTACATTTGGATTCGCCCCTTCCCACAAAACCCCCCGTGCCCACACCAAGCAAACCTGCCCTCCAGCAGCCACACCTCCAGGAGGAGCAGGGATCTCCCTCATCTAAGGGAAAAGGAATATTCTCGCTCCTATTTATTTTTTTTTTTTCTCATGTTTGTGATGCTGCTATTTTTAAATTCGCGGCGGCCCGGTGCTTGTGGCCGATAAGCCCCGGCTGGCCCGGAGCCCAGCGCTGCCCGGCCCCGCGGCTCCGCAGCGCCCGGTGCCCGCAGGAGCGGCGGGAGCAGCCCCGCGCCCGCCGGGCGTTGCCCCTTTAAGAAGCCCGGGTGCTGTCTCAGGTAGGCAGAGCCTGTGTGCAGTAGTCGCTCCTATGGCAACCCAATAGAATGGGATCGCTTCATGAATATTCCCAGGAGCAGGGGCTGCATGAGGAATAAGTGATGACAGTGATGTAAGCAAGCAGTGGCCGCTGCAGGTTGCAGTTCATTGTGTTATTGGCCGGCAGGTTGAGGAGTTTGAGGCACCCGGGTTTGAGCTTCGCTTTCCGGATGATGTCTGCCCGCCGGGAGACACGGCACATTTGCATCTCGAAGCCAACATGGCAAGGCGGCTGCTGCTGCCGCTACCGCCCTCCCTCGCCTTCCAGCCAGGAGTGTGTGGCTCTCCTCTAGACTTCTTGCCCAGTGCTCAGGATCTGAGCAGACGGGGATTGCAGTAACACTCACCAAGGGAAGACAAGCAGCAAGTAGCCAAATCGGGACAACGGGGAAGAAGGGGAGGATTTTTTGCCTACCCTCTTTTTTGGTTTTTTTCCTTCCCTTCCCTTCTGGATGCAGAGGCTGTGTTTTGATGCAGAGCCTGTGGATGCCACAGCCTGGTAAGGAGATGACACGCCAGTCTCTGGTCCCCTCTGCCCCTTGAGCTGGGGGCAGGGGCCTGGGGGCAGTGCCGGTTCCCCTCCTTGGGCAGAGCGGGGGTCTCTCACTGAGCAGCAGCAGCAGCAGCAGCATCGGCCATGGACAAGCTGCCCCCCTCCATGCGCAAGAGGCTCTACAGCCTGCCCCAGCAGATCGGACCCAAGGCGTCGATCATGGACGAGGAGGATGACAGCGACAAGGACACCCGGAGGAAAAGCATCAGGCTGAAGCCACTGCCTTCGCCCTCTGCTGGGAGCACCCGGGCCCTCGGGGGGGACCCCGGCAGAGGGGGGGACCCCGGCCTCCTGGAGACGGAGGCCGGCGGCAAGGGCGCCAAGACCAGCACCAACGGGGACTGCCGCCGCTTCAAAGGGAGCCTGTCCTCGCTGACCAGCAGGCACCTCCACGACGCGGCCGAGGAGAAGAGGCTGATCGGCGGCGAAGGGGAGCCGGCCTCCCCCAGCGAGGACAAGAGCCCCCCCGGCAGTGGGGAGCTGGAGCAGGGGCTGCCGGCGCCCCCACCGCCCGCGTCCCCCCCGGAGCCTCAGCAGCCCCCCCGGGCCTGCTCCTCCACTTCCATCAAAGTGGAAGGAGGTGGAGGGTGCGACCAGATCACCCCAGATGAGGAGCAGAGGCTGGGCCAAGCCGGTTTCATGCAGAGGCAGTTCGGGGCCATGCTCCAGCCGGGGGTCAACAAATTCTCCTTGAGGATGTTTGGCAGCCAGAAGGCCGTGGAGAGGGAGCAGGAGAGGGTTAAGTCTGCCGGGTTCTGGATCATCCACCCCTACAGCGACTTCAGGTACAATCCCCCCCTTCCTGATCCACTCCAAACCAGCTGGTCTGCCCTTTCCCACATGACCTCCTGCACCGTGCACCCACCCCAACAGAACTTTCCTTGCTCATCTCCTAGTCAGGGGAGCTGCAGGACACATCCAAGATCTGCTCCACTCAAACAATCTGCAGGTTTCATTTACATTTAACCTTAATTTTAGTGCCCCCACACTATTCTTAATTTTAAATTGTGTTTTTAAACCAACAAATATCTCTTGCTTTGGCTTACTGTAAGGGAAAGGCTCTCCTTAAGTTCAGTGTAAATGGGGAAAAATGTTCCCACCTGATGCACAACTCCAGACTAAAAGTGTGGTGTCTGCTGCTTAACTAGTCCTACATGCCCAGTTCAGAATGTGTGCTCTGCCTGACTAATGCTTCCCATTTTCACACCTCAGAGTCCTCTCTCCCTTTTCCTTCCCCAAGAGTTAGGGAAGGATGTTGCTACTGTTGCTGCTCCTTACAGTGTCTTACTGCAGCATGGCTTGTCAGGAATTGGTATGTGCAGGGGATGGCAGCATTCATTGAGAAGGAACTTAACACCTTCAGAGTCTTACAGAGAAAGATCCTCTCTTTTGCATCTGTACATCCTTATTTCCAAATTTAATTTGGATAGGGAACAGTTAACACTGGCTTTATGAAAGTAATGGCAACATTTCCATGGAGGTTAATAAGGAAACTAACTTGTAAACCCTAGAGCCAGTTTTTGTGTAGTTCTGTACAGCAGAGGGGTTGTGATTGGGTATTTCTGAGCAAAGTATCATCTACTGCACAGGTGAATTGTCCTCTGCAATATGTATGTAAAGTACTGCAATCAATAATTAATTACTTAGTGCAATCAATGGCTAAGGTGTATTGCTTCAACTTTAATTACAACAGGCTTACATCTCACATTTAAAAGCACATGGTAGAAGAACATTATTCAAACACATATCTGTCACACTACATGATTTTATTGAATTTTTGGACTCTTCACAAGAAACCTGGTAATATTCCCTAAAATACAGTTAGCAAGGTAATTGCAGGAAGGAGCTCCAGGGTAGATTTGGGTGCCCAAACAGCCATGTCAGAAACCTCTTGACACTACCTATTAGGGATTTAGCAAGTAGCCCACACGCTGAGCAGATTCAGCACTGGCACTGACCAGATTCCTTGATATTTGCTTGGATTAACAAATGTTATTAGAAGGCTATGTGAGTTGGAAGACTGCACTGTCATTTAAATTCAGTGCATTCAAGTGTCCCAAGCACACAACTGAGTGAGCTTTTGAGGGCTTCCAGTAGCTACAGCATTATACATAGTGCTTGCAAGCACAATCCTGCCCAATCCCAGACTGGAAGGACTATAAAATAGCCTCCCAGTTGTGACTGATCGAGTAATAGCTCACAAACACTGAAATGTGACAGTGATCAGCTTTAAAAAGAGCAAAGCCTAATTCATACTCTTGGCTGTAGATCTTTGCATTATTTGCCACGAGTCTGGAGTTAAAAACTAACAACTGTGTTTTCTTGGGTTATTTTAGCAAGGTGTTCTCTGTATGTCGCACCCTCAAGGAATTTTGCATTTAGTCTCTGGACTGTATTTGGATTTATGCAAAAGCAGCATTCATTTTGCATATCTTTGTGTCTCTGTATAGTGGGTTTATTCCCTTCCATCCTCATGACTGTTTCAGGATAGAACCAGCCTGGCAAACTTGAGTAGCAGTAGCTGAGGTAACCACCTTGCCCAAGGTGAGATGGTCCTAAGAGTTTGGATTTTTAAGGTTCCTACTGAACCAGTGCTTAATGGTTAATGCATCGTTAAAATGATGAGGTAAGTTTTTATTTCTGAGGCACTTGGCCACTCCTAGCCTTGCACAAAGGAATGAAATATGCTGGCAAGCTCCAACTCCCCCCAGCCAGATGATCCCACCGAGCACTGAGCTGTTCTGTGCATGCAGATCTCTATGAATGCATGGATGACTCTTGGTATTAGAACATAATCCTGCCCTGACGTAGCTGGGAATTTGTGCAGAGAAGGCACAGTGAGTTGGGTGTCTGTACCCTGGGGCAAGACCTGCTGGGGGGCAGATTCCAGGTGGGCTGATATCTCCCTGCCTTGTGTTTCTTCTGAAGTGGTGTGGGAGGCCAGCACACCAACATGGGCTGTGTCCCTGCTGTCACCTGCCAGCCTCGGATGGGGCAGTGGGACCGAGGGTGCACAAGGCCAGGGGGAGCTGGAGGCACCACTGTCTGGTCAGGAGGGATATTTTTGGGGGAACTTTGCTCACCCCTGTCCCTAGGTCACTTGCAGCATGTGTGCTGGAATATGGATGCTGCTCAGAGAACAGGCGTGGGCTTCCAAGGAAAATGACCTGTGAACAAAGGCTGCCTTGAAGGAGAGGAGTGGGAGCCTTCCAGATTCTACTCGGGCTTTGTATTCCTTCTTCCCCTCTACTAAAGCATCTGTCTTGGAAACAACTCACGTGAATACAAATAGCGTTTTTTGACCCCTGGAATGCAGCAGACTGCACCAAAGAGCAGATATTACCAAAATATTTGCAATATCCTTGACCCAAAGGAGTGTGGTTTGTGCCTTGGGAATTACGCAGTGCAATGCCCAGTTGCTCCGTGCTAGAGATGGGTGCAGATCCCGGAGCAGTCGGAATGATCATGGAGGAATGAGGCTCCATTATCCTGCCCTTTCTGTCACCAAAGCTGTGCAGCAGCATTCGGGGTACCAGTTTCAAGTTAATAATTATTTAGACCCTGAGCTTGCTTTCTGTCTTTTTGGAGAAACCAGTTTCCCCTCTGAGAGAGAGGTGCATCTCCAGGCATTTTGGTGGAGCTCCAGACCTCGTGACTCCTCTCTCAGTACAGCTTGAGATGGGAAGTTTTGCATGGAACACTCCAGCCCAATTTACTGCTGCGGAATGACATCGGTGTAATTCTCTGACTTCATGGAGTTGCTTCTCCTTGCGCTATGCGAGAGGAGTTCCTGATTTAGAATAGAACAGAGGCTTTCATCATTGTCTCATTAAATTATCATTTTAGCATCTAATATGGCTAATTCCAGTGGCAAATCTATGACCCTCCAAGAGTAAAGCAGATTAATATAGATTCAGGCTCTGTTGATTTCTGCTTTTAGTCCATTGTGAGGGGAAAAGACATCAAATGACCTTTATAAAAACCAAGCTCAGTGCCCCTGAGTACTCCTGGCTAATGCAGTGGGCTGGTTCTAGAAGCTCTTAAAAGGTGTCTAATGAAAATCAGAGTACTGGTTTCTCTTCTGAGGTGCAGATGTATGTGCTGGCTGCCGGAGTTTGTTTGCATCTGTGGCTGATCGCACATCGGCGCGGAGCCAAACTGTATTTCCGAGATCAACATTTATCTGTGACTTTGAAAGCTTTTTCACTGGGTAGATAGAATTGTTATGATAGAATTGTTATGTATTGCTTAGAGGAAGCATTGATCCAGTACAATTGGTTTAATAAAAAAATTCCAGACAAACAACGATCTGTCTAGTTTGTAGCTGACTGAAGCATATGGGTTGTAGCTGCTGCCCAGAATTGCTTGCAAAAAAAGTGTAGCATGCTGCTTTTAGAAAGACCTGAGAACAGATACACTATCTGAGGGACCAAAATAGTCCAAACAGTGGATGTAAATAGAACTGCACATTATTCACTGCCCAGTAATCTATTAACTTCTTCACAGAGAATAGAAGCTGCTGTCTCTTTGAAAACAATGGAAAACATTCCACTCGATAACAGACACAGCTACAGATTTTAGATTTTTTCTCTTCTTTGTTCTCCCTTACTTGTGATACTTTCCTGCAAGCAGATCCATTATTTCGTTTGCTTCCTCTGCCAGAACTCCCTGGCTGCTGGGACCCTGGGGAGATTTCTGTGGCACCAAAAAAATAGATGCTCAGGTGTGAGGTATAAGGTAGGGAAAGAACAAAATCATTTCCTTCCTGTCATGCTGCAGTGTCATGCAGCCTGCCTTCTTTGGGGGAATCAGTGGGATCTACTAATTATAGTCCAAACATCTGCACCCAGTATCACTGGTGGGACTGAGCAAAGATGGGAAGGATGTGTGGTTACCTTTCCCACTCTCCTGAGCAGACCTGATTTCCAGTCTCTCGGAGTGCTGCTCTGTCTGTGGAGACTCTTTTCCCTGTTCTGTTAGAAGGGTAAACAATTTGTGGAGTGTCCAGCAGTGCTCACTGACTTTGGCAGCTCCCTGAGGTGGGTGCTGCTCCCTGCTCTCAGACAGTAATGCCCTTTTCTCTGTCTTCTGCCCAAAATGCTGCTTCTCATGCCGGCCTCGCTTCATTCCTGCCCACGCTCAGGGGCTGCCCACAGTGGCAGCTCTGATCCCATGACTTGCCCTCTGCTCACAGCAATGAAAGTGCCCATTGTGTGAGCTGAATGTACAGCACATGGAAATTCTGGGTCAGGGAAAGCTCTGTGTGGAGGGAAGGTCAGGGAGCATTGGAGTGGCAGCAGAACCTGTGTCTGTCGTTGGAATCCAGCGGGAAGTGTGGACAGGCCCAGGTTTGGAGGGGCAGCTCCCAGCCTTGGATCTTCTCTTCCTCTCCATGCTGGTGGTGTGTTGCCTTGGAATGCCATGGGGACGCTGCAAGCTGAGGGGGGAGTCAGATCCTGCTGCCTGTGCTGCAGAGAACTTTCCTGCCAATTCCCAGGGCAGTTTGCTGGAGCAGAACGAAGGGATCCAAGCAGGAATAATATGAAGGATAATCCAAACTGTGCTGAGCAGCATGGATTGGGTTTGTGTTGCCTCCAGTGGACTTGGAATCAAGTTGCAAGAGAAAAAATGTGGTTTTGTAGCCATGAACCAAGGGAATCAAACTATTGCAGCCATATTTCCCATGTCCATGGGCAAGTCATCACATGCTTCACACCCCAGTTCACATGTCAGTAGGTGGAAAGTAAATAATCCCACACTAGACAATCCATGTAGGAATACAGCT